TGCTAAGCAACACCTGATCTATGGGGTGTAGCAGAATGGCATTAGGAGTCATTATATTGCTATGCTCCTGTAGCAGTACTAGTATTGGTTTTCCTCTAGATTCATAGCCTATCTCAGATTCTTGGCCAGTCAGGCAGTGTCAGGCATGGGATCCACCTTATGGAGTGGGTCTTAAATCCAATCAGATAGTGGTTGGTTACTCCCACAACTTTTTGGTGGCACACATTTTTAACTCCAGCATTCAGGAAGCAGAGGCAGGGAGATCTCTGTGAGTTTATTTATTTGTTTATTTATATAATTTATTATGTATACAGTGTTCTGTCTGTATGTATCCTTGCAGACCAGAAGAGGGCACCAGATCTCATTACAGATGGTTGTGAGCCATCATGTGGTTGCTGGGAATTGAACTCAGGACCTGTGGAAGACCAGCTAGTGTTCTTAACCACTGAGCCATCTTTCCAGCTCCTGATCTCTGTGAGTTTAACTCCACATAGCGAGTTACACACCAGCCAGCACTACATAGTGGGATCTTGCTCCCCCCCAAAAAAAAGAAAATATAGCCCAGTTGATCAATATGTCATCATGGAAGGGACAGTACTTGCCCAGGGTCAATATGGAAGTGGATGAAAGGTGGCTGGAGGGTCCCACTACCTCCATCCATGGCTGGTGGGCATGTAGAGTGCAGAGCCCTGATGCTTTCTGTAACCACACCTCCAGAGGCATGGGCATTCTGGAGCTGGTTTTGCGAATTTGTTCTACATCACCAAGGCGGGCACAGGTATGTAGTGGACTCTGTCAATAAATAACCAGGTCTTTGGATTATTCCAGCAGTGGACTGGATGGTACAGGGTAAGGATGGTGAAGCTGGCACTGGTGCCCGGGAAAAGGGTCACAGAGGAGCAGGGAGAGGAAGGGAAAGGGCTGGGAAAGGCTAGTGGGGGTATTTCAGGTCCCTACAGCTAGTGAACCGGAGCAAGAGGCTGAGAAGGGACTATCCTCAAATCCAAACCTAGTGATGGGGATGGTGCTTTTTGACATAGCAGTTGATAGCTATTGTGTGTGTGTGTATGTAGGACACTTGCTGACTGTCAACTGGATCTATACAGATCAGAGAGAAGGAGGTACTTATTGAAGTTCTACAACTCGCTAGGGATATTGAACCTTGGTGTTTTGGCTTTAAATTCATTGTTACACATGACCTAGTCAAAGGCTCCCCGTAGGGTGTTCAGTGGAGAGCTGAAGAAGAAAGGCACTTACTGTTGCAGAGCTTGTGGTCCCTTTGCGGTGGCCCATCTGGGAGGGTGGCTGGAATCCCTTCAAAAAGCTATGAGGAGACTGACTCTCACTTGCAGTTTCCATCTCCATCTCTCTCACTCAGCCTCCTTCTTCTACCTATGACACTCCTTGAGGCTGCCCTCACCAAGGGTGTTCTAGTCCCACCTTCTTGCTATAAAATACAATGGTCTCAGAGTCGTCTGTGTTCCCAGAAACATGCTAGCAGCCATTTTCCTTCTATGGAACTGTTTCTTATTACTTGCCTTGATAACTCAGCACCAACCCAGGCTTGCAGGTTACCCCTACACATGGGGGGGGGTGCTGTTGTTTGTCCAAGATGACCCATTCAGAGCTCCAGGAGACAGAGAACACATCTGTCTGTAACATTCAAATGCCCCAAATGTCCTGTTAATACAGTTTGTTGAATTATCGACATGGGGACCTTATCTATTCTATTCTTTTGCAGGAGGTACCTCCAACCATGGCTGGTGGGCATGTAGAGTGCAGAGCCCTGATGCTTTCTGTAATGCACCTCAAATGAGCACCTTCAGCCATATCCCTCACACGCCATGCCACAGGCACCTTCTCGTCATCTTCCCCCGCTGAGACCCAAGTTCTGTAAGTGGCATCCACTCAGGCAGACCTGAGACAGGGCCGCTCCAGTCTCACCTCAGCTCCATCACCTCTTACTCTCTGACACCTTCCCTTCCACCTTTCAGCTTCCCTGATCCAGCAGATGATTTGACCGCATGTTTGCAACAGTCTCTTCCTGCTTCTCCTCAACCCTTTTCTGCACCCTCAGCTCTCTGCCATGCTGCAGTCAGAGAGACATTCCAAAATGCAGACCCAGCCAGGATCCAGTTCTTTACCTAGCGAGTGATCAAGGCACCTGTAGCAGCCCAATGTCTCTTTTGTGCTTGAGTTTGGAGCCAAACTTCTCTGGACGAATCTCATCTGTCAATTTGACATTAGTGTGATGTTGGTTAAGTTATTGACCAAGGTGCCTCAGTGCCCAAATACACAAATTGGAGCTAAATAATGACCATTCTATGAGGTTGGGCTATCATTAGAGGAGTTACCCTATCTTATGAAAGCCTGCAGTCAATGCTTACTGAATGCCAACAACTAACTGCCCCTCAGGCTTTTGCTTAGCTGTCTTGCCTGCATTGCCTATAACAGCCACTAGATGGCCACACTGTGATTCAGCCTTCTTCTTGACAGCCGCTTCTCTTCATTGACTGGCCAATTTCTCCACCTCCCCTCTCCTTCCTCAACATGTTCTTTCACGCTTCATTGCCTACGCTTTCCATGCTTAGGATTCCTGGTTTTCCTTCTTCAGGCCTCACCTCCTGCAGGATGGCTCTCTAACCGCGACCGGCAGATGGGCCGAGCTCTGGTCTGTGAGCTTCTGGAGGACAGGGCATCCACAGAAGAGCAGGAGCATTGCCTGTAGAGTGGAAGTGTTCCACGTTCGCTGAATGAATTTCTCCATGTTAGCCAGTCCCAGCTAGACATTTACATTGTCTGCATGGCTTTTAGCAAGTCACTTAGCCTTTCTGGGGCTGTTATCTTATTTCTAAATTGACATTAAAATGAAGGTGATCCTTACATTTGCTGTGACAGTCTGGTGTCAAGTTCTAGTGTGAGAATGGCCAGGCTGTAGATTCAGGGCCACCATGAATAGATATAGATATAGCACCTGCCTGCCAACCACTGCCCATGCCCACTTCCACCCTACCCCTGCCCTGTTACACGACACATTTAATAGTATTAGTTTGTTTACCTCTTCCTAAGGACCCTTTTAATGGAGAGGGGGGCAGCCTAGATTTAGTCTGGAGCCCATCTGGATCAGCTGAGCTTGGAGTCTCCCATGCCCAGAAAGCACAGCCTCAACATGTCCTTCGCAGCAGCACCTCAAGTTATCCATCACTGTGCCCTTTCCCTCTCCCTGAGTGCTCAGTGCTTTGTCCACGTTAGAGTTGAGGGTGCCTCCTGGCTCTTCCCCATAGATCTCTCTGCTCTGACACTATCTGTGTCAGCATGACCCTCGTCTACAGCAGCACCCCAGAGAGCAGTTTGGGTGTCATTAGGAGCAGTTCTCAGAAGGAGAACTAACCAGTCAAAGAACCTGAGCCCTTTTGAGGCTTTTGCAAGGTGTACACTCTCTTACTTTTCCTTAAGGGTTGAATCCATTGGCATTTGGTCATTAAATAGCGGGAAAGTGCTTGCTGCTGAGTTTGGGGCCACAGCACACTGTAAAAAACTAAGCATGGTAGTTTGTGTACCTGTAATCCCCAGTGCTGCAGAGGGAGAGATATGACAAACCCCGGGGCCATCTGATCAGTCTAACTGAATTGGTGAGCTCCAGATTCAGGGAGAGACTCTGTCTCAAAGAATAAGGTGGAGAGTGGTTGAAAAAAAATACTTAGTGTTGGACTTTGGTCTAAATACGCACATGCATTTGCATGTGCACATACATGCAGAGAAAGAGAGAGAGAAAGAAAGAGAGAGACAAGGGACAGAAACAGAGAGTTAGACAGAGAGACAGATAGAAGGGGACAGAGACAGAATATACTCAGTAGCTGGCAACCATGTGCCCAATTAAGGATTGTGTTTTTGCAGGAGTGGACAGAGGATGTGGGAGGCATGCTGAGTCATCTCTGCTACAAGCAGACTGTACTGTAAGCATGGGCTGTGACAGATCCTTTAAAATAGAAACAGTGTTGGGACAGTGCTAACCATGAATGAGTCACAATCTGTAGAATTCAGTAATCAAGAACCATTCAAATTTCCACCAGGCTACAGGCTAACTTATAAAAGAAACTTCGGGCTCTTCACAAACATAATTATTGTTGTAAGTTTTAGAGTAACTCAAGCACTCATGACCATACTCACTGTAATTACCAAAGCTCCTGTTTAGTCTTCCTTGGTCAAGTACCAATTATACAGTGAAGCAAGGGAATCATTCCCCAGGTGGTTGGTGGTCTTCTGCAACTGTGCATATGGCCACAGAGGAGACAAAGGAACATAGGAGCTGTGTTACAGTTATGCGAACCTGTCAGGTGTTTCTACAGGAAGCATTTGGTAGCATAACACTGGAAGGCTAAATTCTCTTTATCTTGTACTACATTACTGATAAGATAGGTTTTTTAAAAAATTTATTTAATTTTATTTTATGTGCATTGGTATGATGGTGTCAGATCCCTGGAACTATAGATACAGACAGTTACAAGCTGCCATGTGGGTGCTGGGAATTGAACCCAGGTCCTCTGTTAAGAGCTAGTGCTCTTAACAGCTGAGCCATCTCTCCAGCCCCAAGATAGGTGTTTATTAAATCTGAGATGGTGGGTTTTCTGTCTAGTTAAGGGACTCTTAGCCTCCACAAGTCATCCCTTCTTGCACTATGCTTTCATGTTTATTAGTGCCTTTGGTTGATGGGAGAACTGTTACATAGGATTTCTCCATAATCGAAATGTCCAGAAATGCAAAGGACCAATAGACGCCTGGTGAGAGAAGGCTGGTTCCAAAGATTATATGAAGTTTTCCCATGACTGGACAGGATAACCTTGGTCAGTTTCTCACATCTTGAATTCTGTCTCTTCATTCGCACTTCCAGCCAACCAACAAGTTCTCTTTACTCTCCTAAATGTCATCAAAGTCACTCGCACATTCATTCCCTTTAAGGACCACTGCAAGCACCGTCTACTTTTTTTTTTTTTTAAATTCAGGGGAGAGCATGAATGCAGTCTCTCACTACAACAAATTATGAAGGCTAGTTTCCCACATTTGGGGAAATCTCAGACATGCGGAATGCAGTGGATGAGCCTTGCCCTGGGAAAATCACCTTCATGATTAGGATGTTTCTTCCATCAGGTAAGTATGCAGCATCTATGTTTTTTCCATGTCTGAGCTTTCTAATTGTGTCCCTTTCTTCTAGTTTCTACTTTTGCCCTCTCTAACCTATCATTAATCTGTTCATTATTCATGCAACAGATGTAAAACTACCCCTCCCACCCTCTTTCTCTCTCTTGTAGCTCAGGCTGGTCTTGAACTCATGATTCTCTTGCTGGAGTAATAAGTATGCAAAATCATGCCCAGGAAAAGGTCCTCAAAATTCAGTTCACCCTAGGTCCACCTCTTTAAGCAGTTTCCATTTAGGCTTCATAAGAGTAGTTAGCATCAGGAACATACGTAGAATATTTTTATAATATTCTAAGTTTAGACTTTCTTATTTAAGATTCGAAATCAAGACATTATAAAGAAAAGTGTGTACACATTTTATTTGTTATTTATTTTGGGTTTCTAGACAGGGTTTCTTTGTATAACAGCCCTAGGTGTCCTGGAACTCATTTTGTGGACCAGGCTGGTCTCGAACTCACAGAAATGTGCCTGACTCTGCCTCCTTAGTACTGGGATTAAAGGGATACACCACTACTGCACTGCTAGTATAGCTTACTTATGAAAATCAAAGCATTTCATATATAAAATATATCATACCTACAGTTAATAAAAGCAAAAGGATCTGGAAATTACAAATAAAAGTTATAAGCAAGAATTATTATCCACAATATATAAAGTATATATGGGTAAGTAAGAAAAAATCACAGAAAAACAAAGATAGATGGTGCTGCCTCAATAAAGACAGGGACTAGATAGGTAGCTCAATAGGTAAAGTCTTGCTATACAAGTTTGAGGGCCTGAGTTCAATCCCCAGAATCTATGTAAAAACAGCCAGGCATGGTACACATGCTTGTAATCCCAGAGCTGGGGAGGTAAAGACGGGTAGATCATGGGGACTCATTAGTCTTACCTACTGGGTGAGCTTTAGGTCAATAAGAGATCCTGTCTGAAAATAAAAGGGATGGAACCTAAAAATGTCACCTGAGGCTGACCTCTGGCCTCTGTATGCATGTGGACACATGTGAATACATGCTTGGACACACATGTGCACCTGAGTATACACACGGGAGGGGGCAGAGAACAATGGCTGAATACATTTAAAAAATCTATTTAGCTATCCAATAGTAGAAAGTTAAAGAGTCATAGGCCACTCACATTGTAGAAAAGTACAACCTTAGGACAGTGATTAGGGTGGGTCTTCTAGTAATCGAGAAAATGCAAGGACGATGCAGACACGATCTCATGTCTAAGAACACACGTGGACACTATATATGGAATATGCAGGAAAGAGTCAGAAAGAATGCATACTAAATTACTCTGCTTTTTGGGAAAGCGGGAGGCTCTGTCAGGGCAGAGAGTGCAGCCCGGGTGAGGTGGGATTTTAGCTACACCTCCTAGGGCTGGAAAATTTTTTACATTCAGCACACATCCATTCTCCTGTTACTTATGTAATTATGGAAACTATTAAAAAACAGAAAATATATAGAAGTCACGCAGTGATAGGCATGGACATAATCATTAGAAAATAACTTGAAAATCTCTCCAAGTAATACATATCCAGGGTCACCTGTGTTACCTGAACATGTCTTGAGGGTAAATGTGCAGCTGTAGAGATGCCCCAACCCACGATCCTCCAACTCTCCCATCAGACATATGGTCCTCTCCAATTGCCTGGACCACTGGCTATAAATTTAACTTAAAAAGAAATTTACCATTGCCCCGTTGTATCTAACATTAATGGAGTTTCTTTAAGTGCAAATAGATTCCATGCTTGGGTCTGAGGACAGTGTGGCTGGAGAAGGCAGGAGGCCTGGTGAGGTCTGGAGCTACTTGGAAATGGAGCAGAATCAAAGCAATGGCCACCTTTAACTCCAGCATGGCAAACTGCTGCCCGATGCAGTTCCTGCAGAAGGAGAGAAAGGGGTTAGTTTCTAGAATAACAAGTCTGGAGTCCAGGGCTGCTTAGCAGTTTCCTCTGATTGAAACATTCTCTCCAGATGGGAGGGAAAGGACTCAAGGAACTCCAGAGGTGAACAGACTTCAGATCTGGACAAGCTGTGACTTGGAAGACTCATGAGGGCCCCTCTCCCGAGTTACAGAAACAGCAAACAACTGCTGGAGAGGAGACTGACCAGCTGTGCTGCCTCTCAGACCTTCCCAGAGTCCTGTCAGACCAGTCCAGATGCCTGTAAGTTGTGCAGAGAGCTCCAGGGTTGCAGCTTTCGTGAGTGGTCACTTGTGCTGGCTTGGACTATTTGGTAATGCAGCTTATTTTGAATAAGAATGCTCCTCAAATAGGCTCACGTATTTGAAAATGATGTTTTCTTCACAGTCGATGGAATGGCATGGAAAGGATTTGGAGGTGAGTCTTGTTGAAGAATGTGTGTCTTGGGGGCAGGGAGTGGGGTGGGGTGGGCTTTGAGGTTTCCCAGTTAGCTTTCTCTGTGCTTGGTGCTTGGGGATCAGATGTAAATTCTCAGCTACCACGCCGGTGCCATGCCCACCTGCCTGCCTGTTGCCTTACTCCCCATCATGACAACCATGGATTCACCCTTGGATTCTGTAAGCGCCCCCCCCCCACTAAACTCTTTCTTCTATAAGTTGTCTTGGTTATGGTGTCTCTTCACAGCAATAGAAAAATAACTCATACACAGTGCCTTTAGAGCCACCCTTATTCCCATAAGCAACCCTTCACTCTTATTAGTCCCAACAAAAATTCAGTGGTTCACTAAATTTGACTCTAATATATCATGATCTCTTGGGGGGATCATCTTTCTGGGGTGAGGAGACATATTAGTGATACTTTTTCCCACATAAATTCTCTTACACAACAAGAGTAAAACAGAGTTTTCACACCAAATATTGAAACTTAGACTTTTTTTCTTACGTTGCTCCTTGCAAGAATGTGGAATTGGAATGTCCAATGTGATACCCTCCCTGAAGAAGATGACTGTTGGAGTCACCCACAAACTGTTTCTCCTACAAGCATTGAGCCTGTGAACAACACTTAAACTGCAGGGTTGTTTTATGAGGCATGACTCAGGGGATTCGATATTAAGTGGTATTGCCCTTTTTGAATAGATGGGTTCTGGGAAGGAACTAGTGGATCAGAGGGCCTGATGGGTAAGTAAGTTTTTTTTGTATATACTTTCAACAGCTTCAAGTTGTCCTCACCTTGGGCCACTGGAGAATGGTAGGAAGGCACAGGGATGTCTCTGATCAGAATTCTCCTTAGTGAATCTCAAGGGGTCAAAGACCTGAAATGAGAAGACAATGCTGCCACCGTCTTGACAACAACACATCTTTTAAGGTGCTACTTAGTGCTGACACAGAAACACATGCCACATAAGTTATTTAAAATGTTCTTTGGGCCACATGTTAAGAAGATAGCATAAATTTAAAAAATAGGTTTTATTAAATAGAATATCTATCATGTACTCAATATAAATAATTAAGGAAATATTTCACTTTTGAGGGAGGGTACTGTGTCTTCAAACTCCATGTTGCAATTCCAATTAGCCAAGTTGTTCAGTGGCCACATGAACAACACCTCTATAGACCTGGAGGGCTTATCTGGCCCACCCCTGACTTGTCTGCTAGCCAGTCTAAGAGTGTACCCACTTAGAAGCCAAGTCCAAATGAGATGTAATAGTTCAGATTCCTATTCTACAGAATAGAACAAAAAGCCTTAGTGGTTATCATAGAAGTAAACACTAGTGCTTATGTTTTGAATTTCAAGCATATTGAATCAACTCAGGCTTTCTACACATCTCCTTGCCTATCTAGGTCTTCCTTTCTCTCTTTCTGAGGCTATTCTGAGCTCTAGACAGTTGACCTCATGGGTTTGGGACAATTAAAATATTGATAGGAATCTGAAGAGTGGCAGCCCAGGGGTTGGGATGTTGACTATTCATTGGCTCCTCCCTATTGGCTGTCTTAGGTTGGCAATCTCTTCTGCATGGGCTTATTTGATGTTTCCTCCCTAGCTCCCAGCTCTTTTCCCACAGTTTATGTAACTCTCCCTTCTGGGGCCCATCAGGTCTAGAAAAGATAAATGATTCTGAATGATACCCACTTTCACTTGCTTCCCTGAACTTCTGCCCATATCTTCATAAATAATTCCTTTATGGAGCATTTGAACTGAGCAACTTGAATGTGCCATCAATAGCTCCAGGATCCTGATTGCTTCATACAATAAAAGAGACTGAGCTGCCCAGCTGGCTCTACTGACCAGCCAAAGCCCTGCAGATATCTACTAGATGTTCCAAAGAGCTTGACAGGTGAGTGACTGAAACAGTCAGTGACGGTTGGGAGCAGATTGTGGGACTAAGATCTTTAGATCGCAATAAAGATAAAGGATATGAGGTGAGGACAAGATTGTTAGTGGGTGAGTTTTACATGGTTCTGACTTTTATGTTTGTTTGCCCAGGGCCATTTACTTTCACCATATAGCCATTTGCATGCTTAGCTGTCAACACAGATCACTCACCACGACTCTCTGGAGCATGTCCACAAAAGACATCTTACCTTTGGGTCTTTCCAGACAGCAGGGTTATGGTGGAGACCCCAAATGCTAAGAACCACAGTCATTCCTGAAGCAGGAGGGAAATGGAGCAAACTGTCAGCTGCTGTAGTGTGCAGGAGATTTCTTCCTGGAGGGAAGAGCTGAACTGTGTGCCAGCTCCACCAGAGAAGGACGTGAGGGAGAATGGGCTTGGGTTTGAACCATAGTTTTTTTCTTTTTTTTGAGACAGGGTTTCTCTGTGGCTTTGGAGGCTGTCCTGGAACTAGCTCTTGTAGACCAGGATGGCCTCCAACTCACAGCAATATGACTGCCTCTGCCTCCCGAGTGCTGGGATTAAAGGCATGTGCCACCACTGCCAGGATGAACTACAATTTTCAAAGCAATTGTTTACTTAATTTGTGTTTTTATGCTAAAGACCTGTTGGTGTCTGAAAAAGAGTTAAACTGTGCTTGAGCGTTCTGCCTCGTTTGAAATTAGTTACCAGCTAGGCAGCACTCCAGAGAGGCTGTTTACCTTAAAGATCCAGTGGCTAATTTCTCTTGGCACTGTTCATCCGTGAAAGATGGAGAATTTGGGCAAATATTCATAGAGTTGGTGATTAAAAAAACAAAAGACAAAGGAGAAGGAATTTGAGAAGCATTTTCTTATCCAAAATAATTTTGGTTCTGTCAACAAAATTACAGCCATGGGTTGTCAGCGTTGGCCTCAGGTCTCCTGTTGACCTGTCGACACTAAAGCAGACAAGGGAAATGATATCTTATCTGATCCTACTGCCACCTACATGTCCTGCCAGGAACATCTGACTTCACATACAGGGTCTCCAAGAGTTCTAGCTTTGCTTCACATCTGTTAACTTATGTGCATATTGGGGTTTTCCTAATGGGTTTTTGGAGATATCAAAAAGGTTTAGAAGTGTTTTGTAAACCGTAAAGTACTGAACCCATGTCTGTTAAGATCCCATTCAAAGGGGGAAATGAAACAATGTAGGTGAAGGTTTTATACAGACGAAGTATTGTCCCCTTCTGAGTTGGTGTGGTGATAAGTACTCCCCTTCCCATCTCCTACACTAACACAATGGTGTGCATCTCCTGTAAAGACCACTTGGATCTCAAACTCAGCCTCACAAATATTATCTTAGAGACAATGTCCCATAACAGAAGAAACCCTTGACTGGGGTTCTCAAAATAAGGCTGGAACCTAACAGCTCTAACTGGCTATGTGGCTTAGGAATGTCACTGTGGCTCACATATGATTGGGGAATTATCCTCCAAGCTTTTAGTGGCTGCCTAACTCCAATTCAGATGTCCCAAGAAGCCCCAGATCCTACTAGTTATCATCACTGTGACCTTCAGGATCTCATGCTTAGGAAAAGAATGAAGACCTCCGGGAAGCGAGTGTCCATCTGGGAGGGTAAGGGGCTTGCTGAGTTCTCTGGAGATGGATGGAATGGGAGGAATCAGGCGAAGTGTCTCCTTGATGCACATTGTGGTGTATGACATCTCATCTAGCTGGTCCCTGTGACGACAAAGGAAGGAGGGAAGTGACTGAGACTCCAGAGCCACTTTGTATCGACTGTTCTCTATTTGATTTCTTTTCCTAGTAAGCATCACTGGGGTAAAGTGATTTTTGTCTGGGTTTATACAGCACATTGTTAAAATGTGACCTTTTCTGTATCCATGTCAACTCAAGTCCAAAGGTGGCAGACACACAGATGCCATGTGCCTAACAACAGGATTTCTGTAAAGTAGTGCTGTGACCCTTAGCTCTTCATGTAAAGGAAGAGTGTAGAAGGCACAGCTAAAAACTAAGAGGCTAAAGAAGTTTGAGAGAAAAAAGTATGTAAAGATAATTGTTGAAATATTGAAGTACCCCCCAAACTGCTCTGATAGCTACTGAAGCAGCTATGTGTACTGGGGTTTTAGGTGCAAGTTGTAAAACAAAATATATGTATTCTGCTTGGTTAACGTGTATTTGTAGCCTTTCATGCAATAGAATTCAAGTTGTTGTTTATAAAAAAACAAAACAAAACAAAAAAACCCTGATAATAGGAGAAAATTGCCTTCCTGGATAGAACATAGAATAGCAACGTTTATGAATATCACAAATAAAGAATTCAATTCTTAAAAAAAAAAAGAAATATTGAAGTACCTTGGAAAACAGAGTAGGGTGCTACTCATACTAAATAAGGGGAGGCTGACTTCAGGTTACATGGAGGGTCTGAAATGTGCTCCCTGGAGTTTAGGAAGCACAGAACCAATCACAAGCGACCCAGAGCAGACAGACTGGCAGGGGAGAGCAACTGAATGAGGTAGGGATGCACAGACATGTCGGGGGTGTGGTGGGGTAGGGTAGGGAGGGGATAGTCAGTGAACTGACTAGGAGGAGGGCAAGCTCCAAACCAGCTAGAGAAACACTGTGTTCAGAGTTCCCCTGCCCATGAATCAGCACTAGAAAGTTCCAGAAAGAGAGTCTTCAAGATACCTGCAGATGTAATGATCAAGAGAAGAGCAATGCACAAAGTATTTGCCAAACCCTTGGCACAGCCACTATAGTTTCCTTTCACAGGGGTATCATTTCTGATATTGTCAGAGCCTTGTGTAGGGGAGAAGCTGGACAATAAGACAAGCCAACAACAAACTCCTCTCACTCTAATGGCTTCCAGGCCAAAGAAGGGCCCAGAAGGGGTGAAGGGAGAGGTTCCAAGTGGATGAGCATATGAATGAGGGTTTGCCATTGCCCTGGGCTAGACAAGATAGTTACTAGCTTGAGATTTAAGTAGATGGGACTCTATGAAACTCCTTAAGATTTTGCCTACGAGATGAAAAGAACTTCCCACAGAGCAAGTCTTAAGTGAGAACAGGAAAAGAATGAAATAGCTTATCTGTATACCTAGCTATTCAAAAGAGATATATCTAGTCATTTTTGCCTAATCACATTTCTATTTCTGATGAATTACTTTAATGCAGGTGTTGGCCTGCATTTTGAAATGTAAAATTCCAATTCTGTATTCTTTCCCCATCAAGGTGAGGAAATAAATGAGTAATTGTGTCTACCCTGGGACTTACATAATTAAGAAAAACAACTACCCATATCATTGCCAACAAAAAGAAGAATTTTAGTTTGTTGCTGTTTTGAGACAGGGTCTCATTATGTAGTCTTCTGTTGTAGAATAATCTTTTTGTATACTGTGAAGGTGTGTTCCTCTTATTGGCTTAATAAAGAGCTAAATGGCCAATAGTAGGCAGGAAGAGGTTAGGTAGAACTTGGGGACAGGAAGAGAGCTTTGGGATAAAGAAGGGTGGAGTCCCAGAAGACACTGGGAGAAGCAATATGAGCATGCTGTGTTGATGAAAGGTACTAAGTCACGTGGTAGTGTAGATAAGAAATATGGGTTAATTTAAGTTGTAAGAGCTAGTTAGTAACAAGCTTAAGCTATTGTCTAATCATTATAATTAATAATAAGTTTCTGTGTGGTTATTTGGGAACTGGCTGGCAGGACAAAAAATTCTGCCAACACAGCCCAAAATGGCCTGGAGTTCTCTGAATAAACCAGTTTGGCCTTGAACTTACATGAATCTTCTGAGCAAACAATTTATTATTATTGTTATTATCATTATTACTTTTTCTTGAGAAAAGGCTTCTCTATGTAGCCCTGGCTGTTTTGGAACTTACTTTGTAGACCAGGTTGGCCTTGAACTCACAGAGATCCACCTGCCTCTGCCTCCCTAGTGCTGGGATTAAAGGCATGAGTCACCATCTCCAGCAAGCAGAAGATTTTAAACCAACATAGTAATGGCCTGACAAGGAGCCAAAGAGAGAAATTGCTTAACATTTTCTGATTGTCACATGTAGATTTCATTAATGAAAATGATGAGTATGTTATAGAGGAGTATTTTTTATGTGTTCTGGGGCTGGAGATTGCTCATCAGTTAAGAATGTTTGCTGCTCTTGCAAAGGATCTGAGGTCAGTTCTTAGCATCTGTGTCAGGTGGTTCAGAACACTCCAGCTCCAGAGGATCTGACACCATCTTCTGGACTCTATGGCACCTACACTCATGCATATATATCCCCCCCACAGACACCCATACCCACATAATTAAAAAAAATAATAAATCTTTGAGCTGGGTGGTGGTGGTTTTAATTCCAGGACTCAGGAGGCAGAGGCAGGTGGATCTCTGTGAGTTCAAGGCCAGTCTGGTCTACAGACCAAGTTCCAGGGCTGTTACACAGAGAATCCCTGTTTCAAAAAACAAAACAAAATCTTTGAAAATGTGTTCTTTATAGTATTTTTCCTCTTTCTTTCATTAAAAGAGAGAATAGTTAAAAGAGCATCTGCACTTTTTTTTTTAACCTGGCTAGGACTCAATTACTGTTTTCAAATTTAGACCAATCAAGAATGAGCAAAGTCAACACATGAGTTTCTTTTCTTTTCTCCTCCCTCTTCTTCCACCTCCTCCTGCTTCTGCTCCTGCTTCATCTCCTTCTTCTCCTCCTTTTTTCTTTTTTTTGAGACCCCTGTAGCTCTGGTTGTCTTGGAACTCGCTATGTAGGTCATAGTGGTCTCACACTCACAAAGATCCACCTGCCCCTGCTGGGATTAAAGGCGTGCACCACTGTGCCCAGCCTTATTTGTTTCCCAAGTAACTATAACAAACAAGATAAAGCATTGAATTCATGCTAGAAACAGACATAATAACCTTCCAAGGTTGGTGAATAAACAGAAATGGACTAGTCAAAAAGATGATAAGATAAGAGGTCCCCCACTTGGATCCTCCCAGCAGCAATGATTCACAGACAAAAGTGCCTTTGTGTGAGACAATACGTGATCTGGAGATCTATTGTGAAGCTGTAGCATAAAAAGCAAATGGAACAGGTGGAGAGCCTGGAACCACATCCACACATACACTTATGGACAATGAATCTTCAGCAAAGGTGACAAGAACACACAGTGGGGAAAGAATATTCAGTTCAGTGACTGATGTTGAGCAAGCTGGATATATACACAATAAGAATAAAATAAGATTTTTATGCTATATACAAAGCTCAACTCAAAACCGAATAAAGACTTAAAACACTATCTGATTGTAAAACTACTAGAGAAACCAATGATAGAGAGATGACTGTTGGCATGAGTCATATTTGAATTTTCTCTTGGAAGCACAAACAACAAAAGCAAAACAGTAAGAGTTTACATTAAATGAAAACATACCTTATGTATGGCAAAAGAAAAAATAGACTGAAGTGATGACCTACAAAATGAGGAAAATATTTGCAAACCACTTATATGATAATGTATTGATATTCAAAAATATATAAAGAACTCCAATAACTCATGCAAAGGGTCTAAATAGGCAATTTGTAAAAAAAAAAAACAAAAAAAAACTGATCTACAAATACTTGACAGGCTTGTGAAAAATTTCTCAACATTGAAAATCGTTAGAGAAATAAAAAATTAAAACCAACAATGAGATATCACCACACATGTGTTACAGAAAGGGAAAATAAACAAATATTGGTGAGGAGTTGGAGAAAATAGGATCCTTACACACTGTCAGGGACAACGTGGATCAATACAACCAAATGGAAAGCATCATGGAAGTTCTTAAAAAATTACAAAAAGAAGTACCACTTGACTCAAAAATTTCATTTGTCAGTATGTATTTAAAGGGAATGAAGTCACTCTATCAATGGCAGCTTTATTCTCTATAGTCCAGATATGGAATCAGCCCGAGTCATCATCTGAAGAGTGGATAAGGAACACGTAGTACATACACACAACACAATGCTATCTATGCAGCAGTGAAAGGGAAGTCTTTCATTTGTTAACACGTGAATGAACTTGGAGGCCATTACGCAAAGCAACATGATCCAGACAGAAAGACAAACACCCCATGAACCCAGTTACAGGTGGCTTTAAGAGGCTGAATTTGTAGAGGCAGAGGATAGAGCAGTGCCAATCAGGAATGTGATGACAAGAGGTTCAGAACTCTAGTTAGATGTGGAGGAGCTGCATTGTTATAATTGTTAACAATTTGTTGTATGTTTGAACGTGCACAATGAGTATATTTTAGATGCCCTAACCGCACAAATAATTACATAGTTAATGGATATGCCCATTGGCTTAGTTATTTCAAAATGCATACATGGGTCAAAATAGCATACTGTAAACAGTACTTATATATACAAACACACATGCATACTTTTTATCAGTAAAAAATCATTACTTAATATTGTATTTTATGCTATCTGGATGAGGGTATTGTGTGTGTGTGTGTGGTTGGAGGGTGTGAATATGCCATGATCAGAGGCAACTCTTTTTCTTTTTTCAACTCTGTGTAGCTTTGGAGCCTATCCTGGTACTCGCTCTGTAGACCAGGCTGGCCTCGAACTCACAGAGATCCAGAGGAAACTTTTATGGAATCAGTTCTCTCTTTCTAACTTTAAGTGGATTCTGGAGATTGAATTTAGACCAGGCTCTTCCATGCTGAGTCATCTTGTTGTCCCTCTGCCCATATATATGTATGTATGTATGTATGTATGTATGTATGTATGTATGTATGTATGTATGTATGTATGTATGTATGTATGTATGTATGTATGTATGTATGTATGTATGTATGTATGTATGTATGTATGTATGTATGTATGTATGTATGTATGTATGTATGTATGTATGTATGTATGTATGTATGTACTGGGGATCAAACTCAGGTCCTCATCCTTGTACACCAAGCACTTTACTGGCTGAGCCCTCTCCTCAGCCTTAGATGAAGCTTTGAACTTATGGTAGGAAATGACTGTTAGTTCCTTATAAAATGAGCTCTCTACTGCCTTTAGAACTTCAGTTTTTGTTTTCTGAGCTGACCTTTGCTTATGAAATGGGACTCGGTGGTCTTTAGCATTTTTATGGTTCTGTCTCTTTGACTAGAGCATTAGGCACCACTTATCAGGGATACATTGTTTCTTTGTAAACCACACGTCTGAGGGACCTGTTCATTATCTAGAGCTTATTAACAGCAAGATTCATTAAGAAAGTTGAGGCTTTCTCCTGGTTTGCTCTTTACAGAAGCATCAGATCCGAAAGGGGGCCGTGTCTCACTAAACCCCCATGGCCAGGGTGGGAATCTGTCTTTTAAATCTGGTGGTCAGAAAATATCTCTGTCATTGCCTTTACCGTGAGCACTTTACTTTGCGGTGTGACGGTCTCTCTCTTGCCTTAAACTGCAGATCACTGAAGACAGGGTCTGTACAAAATCTTAGCCATCATTTTAGTGCCTCAATTCTTAAACTGTCGTCAGTCTACATCTTCTAACTCAACAACAGCATGCACTATTTAATATCTTCAAAGGTCAAAGGCCACCCTATCCTGAAGCATGACACCAGTGACCAGGCAATCAGCTTGGGTGCTACAGTGAACGCAAAGATGCAGCTACTCCTCCAGCCTTCTCAGCACACAAGTACCCTGGAGTCTTGTCTTTGAAGCTCTACATGCAAGCCTAAGGTCTGTTCTTCATTTCTAATGTGCCAGAGCTTGGACGAAAGAAACAAACATTGTATAGAAAAAAATAGTGTTGGGTGATTTCTGGATAGTGAACTTCCTTTGCAGAAGACAAACTTAACTCGGGGCTCTCTTCAGAAAGAAGAGACAAGTGGCCTGCCTCATATGCTTTGGCATACACATACCTTGGGACACTATGGTCACCAAAGCACCAGGGTAAGGGATAAGCAAAATCTCAAGAAGAGAGCTAAGATGACATACTGAGGGCTGCAGATCTTACCAGGTGATGGAAGAACCATCTCCCAGGATGCTCCTGATCTCTGTCCGGCATCTGTCTTGATGCTCAGGGTTCAGAGCCAGGCAGTAGAGGAGCCAGGAGATGCTGACTGCAGAGGCGTCATGCCCTGCCCACATGAAGGTGTTCACCTCAGACCGCAGGTCCGTATCTGAGAAGGCTCTTTCATCTTCAGCCTATAACAGGCAGCAGAGATAGCTGAATGAAACACCACTTCACAGATGTTTGGAGATGCCATCAAAATGATAGTTTTACAGAAATGCTCAAGTTTCAAATAAAGGTTTCAAGTTTAGTTCATATTACATATTACAATGAGTCCCACTTTTCCCAGAGCACAAAGGAGGATCAATGTCAAAAGCAAAGCAGGCTTTGCATAAGCATTTGGAAAATTTCTTCACAATTTCTCAACATTTCTTTTTTAAAGTGCTCATCCATGCTTTCAATTTTCTGCGGGTCTCTAAACTCCTGGTATCTGTATAACTTCCAAATCATGGCAAACATGTAATTCAACCTTCGCTGACTCCTAGTCTTTCCTCAAGACTGCACCAAGAGCCGTCTCCCACAGCAGTCTGGAGAGGTTTGCTCGTGTCTTCCCATCCCCACTTTGCTTGCCCATCCATTCTCTCACAAGGTCCGAAGCTGTGTGAGCATGCCTAGACTTTTGGTGCATTTACCTGGGCAGAAAGGACAATATCCAGAAAATCCTGAGACTTTTGAGTGTCATCCTGCTTTATTCCATCCTTGAGGAGTTTCTTTCTGTCCTGAATTATCTTTTCTGTATAGAATAAGAGGTCTTCATTACCAAAGGGGCAGATAAGTCAATCAAAGCCAAATACATTATAAATCAAGGCAGAGCCCACACTTTCAAGTCTTATCTGCTTTCAGAGGCCAGAGTGGGTATATTACATCTACATACATTGAACTTTTATGAGTGGTTTATTTTCCATCAACAGACAACTTTTAAATAAAAGTTCCAAGCAGGAGATGAAAATCATTTTCTATCACTAGGCAAGCAATATAGTCAAGGTGATCGCAAAGTTAGATGCAAGTGGCCAATCATTGCTTTCCTCCTCAGTCTAGAATCTTGTTTTCATAGAAATTATCCAATGAAATAGCCAGCAGAGAAAGCATTCAACATACATAGGTAAAGGGGCTAAAAACAAGAAAGCAAACCAACAGACAAAACCAGAGCATGGGACAGGTAGAATCTGTACAAGCACCTTCTACAGGAATTTGTTTGTTTTCAGTCATAATTGGGGTCAATTTTTTATTTGAACCTACCATTTCATATAAATTTTAAGTGAATTTGGATGGAAGTAAGTAGAGTAGTATGTTTTGATTTTCAGAAACATTTTCTGTACATCCAAGAGTTTAGATTCTCACCCGTGCTCATGGAAGCAAAACTAATAAAACTCAGCAAGTTACAAAAAAAAAGCCACTGCAGTGGGAGGGAGAGTATTTGGAAAGAGGGGCTTCAGCAACACAGGGAGGACGAGAGGGAGTAACATGAGGCAGTGAACATGATCAGAATTGTGTACATTCATGAAATTGTCAACAAAGTTATTGTTGGTGCTGGACCAATAGTTCAGTCGTTAAGAGCACTGGCTTCTCTTCCAGAGCACCCAGGCTGTATTCCCAACATTCACATGGCAAAATTCCAGGCTGTCCTGGAACTCACCATATATATCAGACTGGTCTCAAACTCACAGAGATCACCCATCTCAGCCTCTTGAGTGTTAAGATGAAAGGTGAGCACTACCATATCCAGATTTTGGGTGTCTTTTGAACACATACCAACATCTGTTTTTTCCTCTGTGTCTATTCTGTGCAAGCATTTTAGCTTGTAATTATTACTTAACATACTGCAAAGAAGGCCACATGACATGTACATTTTTGGATTCTTAAATGCTCCCTTGTTATATATGTATTTGTAATAATTGTATATAATAAAATTGTATAATATATGGGGATGAGGGTATAAACTTATCTTAAAGGAGTGAAACTGATTATCTGGGCAGTGTCCATATTAAAGCTCCATTAAGAACAAGAATTCTTTTCTTGCTTACTGTGAGACTTATTCTTCTACACATAAGATAGGCATGATGGTGCATGGCTTTGGGTAACCCACACTTAAGACAGGCCCATGTTTTTACCTGTGCATTGATGTATCACTTTGCCTAACTCCTGGAAGCAGTGACCCTTAGGGCTGAATTTGAAAATTATGTCATGATGATGCCAGAAATTGTACAAGTAAGAAGATATGATTTCGCCAAGTTCAAATGTTGCCTTCATGTAAGGCTCATAGGTTCTAGAAGACAAAGTTGGAACAATGGGTTAATAATTGACTTAGATCACAGTGAGCTCATTTACTGACCCATCACTGACCTGTTTATCTGGCAGTTGGTCTCCTGGCCAAAAGCACATTTCATGATTATGTCCAGGGCCATCAAGTTGATGTGTTCAAAAACCTCCATGGTTGTTTCCTGAGCACTCCAACTCTTCTCCCATTTATCCTGGCAGAGGAGGCCAAGATCAATATCATTGCCATCATCAAATGGTCTTTATTTGCCTGCTTTCCCTAACCCTGCCCTTATCATCTCAGGGACAAAACCCTGACCTTACAGGAACCAAAGGCCAGGAGTAAATAACCCATGTGTTTATTTTGGGCACGAGGAAGGGAAGCATGCCCTAAATGAGTGAGAAAGAGCGTGATGCACACTTCACATTTGGTAAATGGTCTTTGAATGGTTGTCACGGCTGTGTGCCAAACAACACAGAGCTCCACACCACCTAATTAAGACTGCAATACACGGGGTTCTCCCCAGGGCTTCCTCCACCTCCAGCCCCCTTGATAGATATCCCATCACTAATCTCAACCACCACACCCACACTTGAAATAAACTCAAAACATTTTTCAGAAACATCTTAGATTCAGTAATCAGCAACACCAATAGACATGCTGGTGTGATGGGGGAAATCTGGGGCCCCAATCCTAGATGAAGAGCTACTGGCAAGGTATGATGAGATGGGAAGAATTAGTCTTCCCCAGGGATGAGCCCCCTAAATGGTTATTCAATACCAAATGGTTGGTACTGAAAACATATACATACAAACAACACCAAAAGGTTGCATTTATATTTGAACATTTATATATACATGTAACAATAATTATTAAAGAAAAGAGGTCATAAATTCAGAAGGGAAACATGAAAGGGGTTGAAGGGAATAGAAGAAGGGGGAATGACACAATTATATTTAACTTAAAAATTGCAAATAAGCCAGGCAGTGGTGGCATACACCTTTAATCCCAACATTCAGGAGGCAGAGGCAGGAGGATTTCTGAGTTTGAGGCCATCCTGGTCTATAGAGTGAGTTCCAGGACATCCAGGGATATACAGAGAAACCCTGTCTTGAAAAGCAAAAGAATTGCAAATAAAAACAATAAAAAAGCCATTTCAGATTCAAACATTGGGGACAGAATGAGGCCTGGAAGAGGAGTTGCTGCAGGGAGCTGTCCCTAACTTTCCCAGAGACAGAGCCCTGTTCGCATATCCTGAAATGTGTTTTCCGACTGCGAAGTTGCCAAAAAGTGCCCACCTCAGTTATAAATGTATCTATCACAACAAGCACTTTTTGTGTAAAATGCAAATAAATGGAAATGTTTATATTCAGTTCAACCTATGTCTGTTGAGCATCTCCAGGTGTCACTTGGTGCTGAATGCTGGGTACCTACAGATGACGAACTAGGTACTGAATGGTTGGAGACTGAATAAAAAGCAGAACTTGAAAGCCTTTCACCAAAGTGTCTATTATTTGGTCAGATGGCTTACAGCTAAACAGTTAGCCCTTTAAAGAATTAATTTTTTGATGACCATATATTTGTTGTACCTATTAATAGAATTCAGTGTGATATTTCAATGCAGGCATTTAAGGAGAGCTGATGAGCCATGTGGTAGGTTTGGAAGAAATGAGAGGAGGGGCAAGCCTCTGAGTTTGAGATGCTCTGGAAGTGTGCAGCAGGAGGAAGTGTGACAGGAGCGCAGAGAAACCCAGGCCTGAGAAACGCAGAGGATAGAATGGCTCCTAGAAATGGAGGGGTTAAAATGGTGGAGCTGACTGTGCCAGACACTGAGCAGCACAGGGGAGGATGCTCTCCTCCCCACCCCGTTCCCAGAGTCTCTGCCTTGAGAACCCCCCCTCGCTGTGTCCCACTCCACTCCCACGGAAGTTTGGCAGTGCCCAGCCACAAGCTGGTAACAACTGTTCCCTGTGGACAGACTGAGTAAGGCCTGCAGGTAAGGAGGAAAATTTGGCTTTTTGGTATCGGAAGTTTATGAAGAAACTGCATTAATCATTTGTCTGCTTTTTAAAATAAATACATTAAAAAAGTGAAAACCTCTACACCAATAGAGCTTTTGATAAAACTCATCTCTAAGTCAGAAGCCACCCCAACAGGAATGCCCTCTGCAGCAGTCCCTGGCTATTTGGAAGGTGCCACTCACCTCAAGATCCCCCACCACCTATAAGAGGTGACAGAGGCACTGAACCTCTCTATGCTTAGTCCTTCATAGCATCAGACAAGTCCACTTCAGCCTCAAACCTTGTCTCCCATCACTCTGCCTAGGAGTTTCTTGTTCTTAATATTGGCATATGAAAATCAACTTATTTGGTGGTAAATTTGAGTCCCCTCTGAAATCGGAACCAGTTAGCTCCTCTTGGCTTCCTTACCTGTCTCCCACAGCACCTGCCACCTGAGTCTTACTGCCAGAGAATGTGAGACAACTAAAGACGGGAGGATCAGTTCTTCATTTTTAATCACCTGAAGAATTCAGGAAAGGCTTACATAGACATCACTACTCAGTGGGTACTTGTATTCTGATTAATTTCTAGAAACCAGGCTTGATTTTTCTCAACCCACTACATAAATGTCTAATCTAATGTTTCACTTACCAGCATCGTGTTCACAGAGTGGGCCATCATGTCCACACAAGTTTTCAGGATATCGTGATGGAATGCAGGAGTTAGGAGGCAGCGGTGTTGGAACCACCTGGGTCCATCTAGATTCAGGAGTCCTCTTCCTTGAGAAACAAAATGCACAGAACCTCATGCAGTTTACTAGATGAGGCGAGATGAGGGCCACATGACAGCCTCATGTGACTGAGTCACAAGCAGTCATGAAGTGGTGGTGAGTGTTAAAGAGCTGACACATGAAGTCGGTGTCAGCTCTGATGCTCACACCTGGGGTGGATACATTTAACACTGAGAGAAAGCTTGGCACAGTCTGAAAAGTTCTGATGCCCTGTGAGGTGTAGTTTCTCAGCAATGGAATGTGGTACCTGTGTTGTGCTGATTCAATGAGGGCACACACAGCTCATGGAGAAACAACCACTTCTTCTTTGCTGCAGACCAATCTATAAACATTACTGTGAATATAGACTCATCAGAGACAGGGCAAGGCTGTCCATCTGATCCCAGATACCCTCACCTCGAGCTCTAGACAAGTGGAAACACTTATCAAGGCTGACACTTCACAATCTTCTATTGGTGAATACGCTGGCATTAAGGTTTGGCTTTCAGAGGCTGGAGAGATGGCTCAGTGGTTGACAATATTTGCTGCTCCTGCAGAGGACTGGTGTTCAGTTCCCAGCACCCACACTGGGTGGTTCAAATCATCTGTAACTCCAGATCTAGGAATCCAACCCTTTGTTCTGGCATTCATGGACAAACACACACACACACACACACACACACACACACACACACACACAAATAAAAGTAAAATAAATCTTAAAGCATATTTGGCTGTTGAAGGACTTTAAATTTGAATAACATCCTTTAAAATATTTTAACAACATTTTTATACAATATATTTTGATCTCATTTTTTCACTTCCCCAAGCTTCTCTGAGATCCTTCCAAACTCCCTGCCCACCCGACTTCATGTTTTTTCCTCTCTCTCAAAAAACAAAAGCAACAAAAAATAAAAAACAAAAATCAAAACAGACAAACAAACAAAATAAAAGACAAGACTAAGTCAAAACAAAGTGCACAATAAACCACGGAGTCTGTTTTGTGTTGGCCAACTACTCCTGGGCATGAGGCCCACCCTGGAGTGTGGTTGATACACACAGGGCCACTCCATTTGGAGAAAACGGATTTTCCCTTTTCCAGCAGGTTATAATTGAAAATTTCCTGGTTAGGGATGGGACTTTGTGTTTATTTCCTGTTCTCAGTGATGGGATTTTGTGAAATGCATCCCCTTTTGAGTGCTTACAAATTGCCAGGTTCTTTTTGCCTGGTTGGTTCTCTTAGAATGCTGGCCACTGCATGAAGTGCTGAGAATACAACATTGATCTCTCTCAGTAGCGACAACACCGACTCTCATGCCCATTTCAAAGATGAGGGAAATGAGTCCTAGAGAGATTAAATTATATTCCTAAAATCATGCTCACATAGTCTATTGGAGTCGACAGTAGCATGCAAATCTAAGGGGCTATGAATCCAAAGCCTATCTTCTTCCATTTAATTTCTTTCTGGTTTAAAATAAACATCAACCATGTGAGAAAGCAGCTTAATTTGTCTTCTCACAGGATAGAGCCAAACTTCACACCAGAGAAAATTTTTGCTGAAAGGCATATAAAAATAGAGCACTCTGAAAAGAAAGGAAAATACAAGAAAACAAGAGAGGTGAAAGGATTAAAAATGTTCTGAAGTGAAGCTAAGGTGTTGAAAAATTCCCACACATTTTCCTTTGAAAATGGGACTTTGAGGAGAGAAACAAGAGTGCTCTGTGACATTGTGCTGGGTTGACCTTTGAGTTCCCCTTTGACCCTCTCCTAGGTAGCTCTCCTCATAGATCTTGCTCTTTAGAATGTGTGTTCATGTGTCATTCACTGTTTGCTTCTTTGTTAAACTGAGATAGGGATTCCCACTAGCTTGAAACTCACCAAATGGGTTAGGCTGGCTGTGGAGCCTGCCTGTTCTGTTTTCCCTGTGTTGGGATGATAAGTGCATCATGTCCTCTTTTTTATGTGGGCTGAATTCAGGTCTCCAGATTTTATTTTTAAACATTAAAATGATATTATTAGATGAGAATACAAAATACTGGTTTTCCTTATGGCATTCTCATATTTATATGTCATTATACTTTGTTCTCACTCATTTCCTTCTCCCTCTGCCCCCGACCCCAATCCCTTGTATCCCCTGCCTCCCTCTAGCTTGTTCCCTTCCTTCTCCTAGATGGTCTCCCACTCTGCATTCATGTTGTATGCATTTGATGTCCCTTTCCTGACGCTTCTGAGTTCAGATTTGAGTCTCTTTGCAATGCTCTGCTATGGAAAAGTGACTTGGAGTGAGAGTGGGTGGCACATACATACCAATGCATGGAGTCATTAACTGGTGCACATACTGGGCCTTCGGGTCTGCAGAATCAAGAAAAGGCAGCGTTAGGAAAAACACCATGGCCAGTTCAAGTCGGGGAAGGCTTTCTTCATTTGCCTGCACTCAGTGCAGACAGTGGACACAAGGGAATCCCGAGTCACTTTCTACAGCCTTGGAGGCTTGGAAAACCCGTCTTGGTCCAGTCCCAGAGAAGAAGTCCCAGGACCTAAGCTCATACCTTCCCCTGGTTTCTATTTCCCTCAACAGTGCAGGCTTGGGAGTGGACAAGTTTCCAGAATGGAGGTGGGGTCATGTATGCTTGTTGGAAAACATCAGACATTGAAGAACAAAGGCCTCTTGGTGTTCTTGTGACTCTCAGGTATGTTTTTCTGAAGAGGTGAATTCTTGACAGATTGGAGCAGAGGGACAGAGAGAGGTCTGTTTTGCTTAGGTTTGGTAAGGGTGAGGGATATGAAACACAGGAAAGATTCGAATGTGAGATCTTCACAAAGTTGGCAGAGCTCAAACTGGCCATTGTAGTTTTGTGCTATGCATAATAGGAAACTTGTAAATGGGTTGGGTGGGTGGGAGGAGTGACCTATGCTCTACAAAGGAACAGAACAATTTGGACCATAACCAAGAGTTTGGACTGGTAAGTTAATGCTCTTTTGCTTTAGGTTTTGTTCAGACCTCTGTAGGTAGGCTTCTGATTTCCCCGGGAGACATTCGTGAAGCAGTGTTGTTGACTCAAAAGTCCCCAAAACAAGGAGGCAAAGGAAAGCCCCTACCTAGGCTGGTGGTGGCAGCTGGGATTTATGGGGTCCTGGAGCCAAGGAACTGGGGGGCACCTAAGAAGCCCCTAAACCTGGGAAAATCTGCCCCCTCTCCATACTTGCTCAGTATCTTTTCCAGGCCCGGGGCTAATAACCTGTCACAGTCTGCCCCCTCTCCATACTTGCTCAGTATCTTTTCCAGGCCCGGGGCTAATCTTTGCGTGTATCGTGTGCAACTCACTCCTGGAGGATTAGGACTCTGAGTTTTGTCTCATTTCTTACCTGTTCTGCTCAGAAATATCTTTGCATAGTCTGGGTCATAGATATAGAAAAATGCCTGGAATGGCCCTATCCAACAGGGGAAGGCACAAGGGTACTTCTTGACAATCTCATCAAGCTTCTCCATTTTATCATCCTGAAGAAACTAAAAAAGGGCAGGAAATTACAGAGTCAGTGGGGCTGACATTGCCTTGACACAGACACAGGGTGAATTCAGGGTTCCCACAGGGCTGTGCAGCAGAGGGATCTGGCTCCTTTTGTAGGGGAGGTAACTGTTCTTTCTCTAAGATCTCTAACCTTGGGGACAATTTCCTAAACAAGGACATTAATAAATACATGTTCCACCATCAGACCAAAGCCTTATCAAGCGACGACACATCCTATAAACTTTTCCCAGCAGAGGGTGAGGTGAGCTAAGTCTCACTCTCCCAAGTTTGAGGACATCACAGGCCTAGAGCTGGGGCTGAGAGGCTGCAGATTTCGTTTTCCTATGCTAGAAGCTACTCGAGGCTTCCTGTTGGTAAACCGAACACAACCATTGGCTAGCTCACCCTTCCTTTTTCTTTTTCTGTTCTCTAACTATTGATCAGCAATTCTTTCTTGTGACTTAACAACAAACACTTCTCTCTATAGCCCTGCCAACTCCTTCTATAAAAATATCCTGCTCCTCAGCCATAATAGCAGAACACTTCTTTCTACAGGTTCCTGGAATTTGAAACAAACATAGAGACAAAACTCTCATCTCCCAGAATTTATTTTCCTGTTTTGGAGACGGAATCTCTTAATGTAGCCCAGGCTGGTCTGGAAATCACGTCAAGCCTTCTTCAGGCTCCTGAGTGCAGGAATGTAGGTGTGAGCTATCATGCACAGTAAGCTTCCAGCATTTATAATGAAAACTACAAAGTACAAATGCCACTGCCAGAACCTTTGTTTCTCTGTTTTCTTTCTCATCTCTCTCTCTCTCTCTCTCTCTCTCTCTCTCTCTCTCTCCCTCTCTCTCTCTCTTATATACATGCATGTGTATAGGCATGTTTGAATGTGTGTGGGCACACCTGTGTATTCAGGTGCTCCTAATACCTGTGCATATACATGTGGAGGCCTCAGGTTGATTCTGGGACTCATCTTCAATCACTCTTCCTTTTATTCTTTAGTTTTTAAAGATGTATTTGTACAGATATCTGTTTCATCTGTATGTGTACCACATGCATGCCTAGTGCCTGCAGGAGCCAGAAGAGGGCATTGAATCCCTAGAACTATAATTGTAGATGGTTGTGAGCCACCATAGGGGTGCTGGGAATTGAATCTTGGTCCTCTGCCAGAGCAACAAGTGGTCTAAACCTCTGAGCCATCTCTCTATCCCCTTTAGTCTTATTCTTTGAGGGACAGTCTCTAAACAAAACCCAGAGTTCACTGCCCACCTGGCATTATGTAGGTTCTGAGTCTAGTCCTCTTGCTTTCAAGGCAAATGCTTTACCCGTTGAGCCATCTCCTTCACCCAAGACTTTCACTTTTAGGACAAGATTGATAGTGGCTTAAGTAGTCCCTATAAATAACCGAAAATAAGATTTCCATACATCTACTTATGGTGTATGTGTGATGTGTGTGTGGCTGGAACACCTACACACATGGGGGTCTCCACTTTTGAGAAAATGTAAGACTGTTGAAATTCTTCCTTGTATGACTTCACATCACGTAACCATTCTTATCCTCAGAAGAGGCAGAAAACCACCTTCCACATCGGTTTGTTATCAGTCAGCCACTCATCCATGAACTGGCCTCTGGATAGTTTAGATCCACTAAAAGGTCAAGATCCTGAGATCTAGGTCCTGATATAATCAAACAGTGGAAATACATATTCATTTGTAAACAGTGAGCATTTATGGAGGGCTTGTTACATCCTAGGTGATGAATATTCAGAAGGAGCTTAAAGGAGGAATTAATTTTGGCTCACGGTTTCAAGGGACACAGCTCATCACAGCAGGGAAGGCATGACATTGTGCTTCATTGTTCGATGGCAGGAGCTTGTGGATTATTTATACCATGGCAAGCCAGGGAGCAGGACCTGAGCAGGTCTGGTCTATAAGTCTCAAATATCCTCCAGTGACCCATGTCTGCTAGCCAACCTCTCCAGATTGCCACTGGCTGGGTATTAGGTGTTTAGACACATGAGCATATGGAGACATTTCAGATCCAAACCTTTATGTGAAGCTAAGACATGTTCTGGCTGACTCTGGAGTGGTTATAGTGGAACTTAACGCCTCATTTTATTAAGTGTATGACATGTTTTCAGCTTTTTCAAACACTAAACAAGCTTATCTCTTGAACAAACCAATTATGTGTTACATTGCATGTAAATGAACTAAAGCTTTTAACCAAAAGATAAACATTGTCAGGGTGCACAAAAACTGGATATATGTTGACAGAAGACAACTCTTAAGGGGCTCCACATGGCTGGAAAAAATCTAACATATCCATATCACCAGAGAAAGCTAATGTAGCGTCACTAGTGTGAGACAAGGTAGACTTTAAGGCAAGGATTCTTGCTCAAAGAGAAGGGACATTTTGTAATAACAAGATTAGTCTACTAGGAAGATAGAATAGTTAAAGGTTTGTATGCACACTATATAATAGCATGAGAACTAATAAAGTGAAAGAAGACGATAGGATAAAGCCCAAAGAAATTGACAATCCAAGCAGGAGATCTGACCCTAATGCCTGGCAAGTTTCACAGGCCAGGACACAACAAAGCAATCACTAACTATTTAGAACATTTACAGAAATTCAACATGTTGTTATTTCTTGAAGATTGTAGTGAGAGTTAACATTCACAACAGAGTGGAGATAAGCTGTTTCATCACTTTTTTTTTTTTGGAGAGTCACCTCTTTAACACTTCACTCTCAGTAGCTGGGAGAACAGTCGGGTGGGGCAATTTTCAGGGTTTTCTAACTTTCAGTTGAGAACTTCTTAATTAAAGTTCTAAAAGTGTGGAGTTGAAAATTAACAAGTGACAGAGTAAACAGAAGTTGAAGGCTGAGAAGGTTAGGAAAAGTGAATTAGGTTAAATGAAAAGAGCTCACATGCAGAGCATTAGCTTAAAGAAGAGTCAGGTTAAAGGAGGGGCTGGTTGGATCTCAGGTATCTGTCCTCATGCTGCATCCACTTCAGTCCTGGAATACAAACCGAACCAGAGAAACTTTGAGGTTTGCAGAAACTAGGCATCGTGGAAGTTAAGAGAGAGACATTGAACTACAACAAAGGGCTAGGGAAAGGCTGTCTAAGAAATGGGATGTCCTAGCTCCCCTCCTCTTACTCCCAGTATGTCAAGACATGGGGTGGCTTCCCATGTAGAAGAAAGGACAATTCTTCTCTACATAACTGTAAATGATACACAGATATATAAATATATAGATATGATGGTTCTGATTCTCCAGTGGTGGTTCTCACTCATCACTCTTGAGAAGACTTTTCTGTGAGTGCAAAGACTTCCAAACCTCTGAAGGGTCTCATAGCATAAGAAACTACAGCCTCAAACCATGTGACATTTGAGGACAGCTTCTACCATGGAAAACATAAAGATAAATGCATTGTGGTAGCCACCAAGATGACCCTTAAGATCCCAGCCTCTGGGCTTTCCTCTCCACAGTGCACCACATGTGTTGATGGGATCCATTACATACAGTAGAAGTGAAGGCAGAAAAGTTCCAACTAGGTTTAAAAAGACTGTTGCCTCCTTCTTGACTTTTCTATCTTTATCTCTCCCCTCTTGTCCTGGGGGAAGCAAGCTGCCTTGTTGACAGTAGGATGGCTAACTTTTCCAGCTTCTTTGGGATAGAAGGATTCCCAGGATGTGGGGATTTTGGTGCTAAAACCAAGAAACAAACTGGCATCATGGGACAAATGTGCACTCTAGCTGTGAGGAGCCCTATAAAAAGAGCCATTACTGAGGAGCAAAGGCTGTCAAGGGCTGTCAATAACTGTGAGAGTGAACTTGGAGATGGATCCTGTCCAGTCAATTTTTTGGATGATCAAAGCCCTCATCATCTACATACACCCTTGTTAGAGACTGGCAGTTGGGATCATCCAGCTATTGGAAGCCATTACTGAGTCCCCAACCCTTAGGTAAACTTATATAAACTGCATGAGATAAAACCTGTTGTTTCAAGTTGCCAAGTTTGAGAGAAATTTGTTAGGCAGCAAAAGACAACAATACACAAATAGAAAGGAAACAAAAATATGCAGGGCTTAAGAAAAAATTTACAGAAAACTACAACTAATACAGCAGAGGAAATATGAAGTAGCATTTTATGAAAAAAAGTTAGAACTATAATAAAGAAGGGTGTATTTAATTACTATGACAATGACCCTAATTTGCTAATGTCTTCTGTATTCATGTACTCTTTCACCCCGACTGAGTACTGGGTTATACAACTGGCTCTGATAAATCAATACAAGTGCAGCAAACAGCTGGGTGTTGGTGGTGCACTCCTTCAATCCCAACACTCGGGAGGCAGAGGCAGGCGGATCTCTGTGAGTTCGAGACCAGCCTGGTCTACAAGAGCTAGTTCCAGGACAGCCTCCAAAGCCACAGAGAAACCCTGTCTCAAAACAAAACAAAACAAAACCAAGTGCAGCAAACATGGCTGAGAGGCTAAAAACTACTTGCAAGGTCAGATTTGCCTCCTTGCTATCTTGGTACCTTGATACCAGGTAAGCAGGGTCAGGCTTGCCAGCTAGCCAGCTGAAAGATAACACAGCAGAAAGAAGACACCAAGGCATTTAAAATAACAGCCAATATTTATCTAACCTGCTGTGAACTGTGGAATATTAGTCAATTTAGCCAAAGTCAGCCAGACCTTGATTCACCTAGAAAATCTCTATGACCTCACTCAGCTCAAATTGCCAACCCAAAGAATACTGAGCTTAAGAAATGGCTGTTGTCAGTGGGTGGTGGTGGTGAATGCCTTTAATCCCAGCACTTGGGAGGCAGAGGCAGCTGAATCTCAGAGTTCAAGGCCAGCCTGGTCTACAAGATAAGTTCCAGGATGACCAGAGCTACACAGAGAAACCCTGTCTCAGGTGGAAAATAAAAAGAAAGAAAGATTTGGAGTCAGTCTAAGTGTACACTTCTGGATGAATGGAA